TGGGGATTAGGGACATCCTGGCTCCCAATGAGGATAGACTCAAATATCAGGAAACAGAGGCAGGTTTCTTGTTTCAAGGAGCATTTCTAAAATCTAAAGATACCATGGCATCATCCAGACCATCAGATGACTGTAGTTATGATGCTTTAACAGAAGCGGGTATTGTGACCTTGACACTCAGCTGTTACAATGGAGCTGCTTACTGTGATTACACTGGGCAAGCTCCAAGGTTTGCATGTATTTGACTGTGTAAATATGAAGCAGTGTTGGCATGTGCGCTAAGTCAAAATAACAAATGCAAATGAGAGTGAATGTTCAATTGCAACATATTTTCTCAGGCAAAATTATGTCATTTACAAGAGACAGACGTTGATTTAAACTAATAAATAAAAAAAATTCATTAATCATTTGTAACCACTTTTTTATTATGTGTCCATATGTGTTAAGATTAATAACATTTACATGTTATTTTTAACTGATCTTTGTTAGCCGTAAGTAAAATATACCGTAAGTGAAAAAATGAAACACTGAGCGCCATGTCAAGTGTTTATTCACAAAAATACACATATCACCAGTATCACCTACTGATATAATATAAACATATCAGGCAGATTCTGCTCCAGAAGTAAATCCCAATGCCGGCTCGTCATCGTGATGCCTGTCAGCCACTGGCGATATCCTCCATCACCCCATCCTGAGTACCTATGCTGCTGTGCTAGTAAATTTTCATGGGAACTGTAGTTCTTTCTATGCTCACAAAGTAATTGTTGTTTAACTTGTTTAACTACTGTTATCATAAAATCACAAGGGCTTTGAATTCTGACAACATGTGCTGTTGTGGAGAATATGGAATACAAACCACAGGAAAATGCTTCCTGTATGCCAAGCGCTATTAGTAAGGTTTCTTCAGCATGTTTGTTGTGAGCAAAAGCACAATTCAATCTGTACTCCTATTGGTCAGTGTCACCCCAGCACGTTATGGTATTGCTGCGCAAATTGGGAACAGCTATCAGATTGTCTGTTTGGAAAAGTTAAAAATATATATTGGGTGGTGCTAAAATTTATTTGAAACCTACTGGCACGTTAAGGCCTGAAACAAAGCTTTTCAATTTACCATTTTTCCATCTCTCACCTTTAGCCTCAGACTTTTGTTAGACTCCTCTCTGCATGTCTTTTGAACATAAGAAAGAAGGAAATGTTACTTGTTAAGGCTACTCACCATCAGACCACCTCATGGCGTCATCTGGTTGTGAAGGGAGCCCCTTCCAAAGTGCACTGTCTTTAGGATAGCCCAGGTCCATACGTCTTAGGTGGTCATCATAGCGCCAGTAGCGGTTGTCTTTGAAGAAGTAGGTTTTGTCATTGTGTAGCCAAACAAAGGCTGCATCTATGCCCTCCAAAGGTAGACCAAAGTCACTGATTGGGCGAGGGTAACCTTCTTCCACGATATTGTCTTTAAACACCCAGTATTTTAGCCCTGAAGAGGTTGGACATAGAAAATCTACTTAACAATCAATTTAATGCATCGCACAGGGTATGCTCTTGTAATAAATGATGATTTACACGTATTTTTGTTATGCAGCCAATGAAGAACATTCACAGATGTGACACTTGCCCTTGTTTCTGCACCTCTGTTTTCATTTTTTTCTATTAAACCAAATTCTCTTCTGCCCTTTCACACTGAGAAAAACTGTGCTTCCTTCAATCCCAGCCACAGTGCAAATAAGGTTGTTTCTTCTTGTTTCTTTTTAGTGTAAATAAATTTATAAAAAAATGTCTTTTTATGTTCTGGACACACTGTCACTTACAATGCAGTACAAGCCAAACTATGCATATACAGTATGAGCTGTCAAATCATTTAAAAAAATATGATTTACTTGTGACAGAAAGAGAGGGGAAAAAAAAAATTCTGTCACTACAGACGCTCACTGGCTGAACCACTGAACCACACTACCTTGTTGCAGATTTTAAGACATTCCAAGATTCAGTTACATACTGGAATGCTGATTCTTTTGGTACCTTACCTTTGAAAAAGACTATTTTGTGGTCCCCAGGTCTCTCATACACGGCATCCACACTGTCTAGATTGGTTGGCAGGCCCCTCCAGAAGCGACTGATCTGGGCCGGCCACAGAGACACCAAGTGCTTCTCTCGAGTTAGTCGCCAGAAGTACGTCCCTATGAGAGAGAAGATGGGCTCAGTTGGTCCATTCCAGTGTCTACAGCACCCCCCGCCCCCAAAATTTGTTCTTCCTCTTACTCCTGCTTATTTAACTAATCTCTTTTTATTTTCCCCACGCAGTTCTGCAGCTTTGCATATGTCTGACTCCCTTTGCTTCGCTGTACCTTTGAAAAAGAAGGCCTCCCCTCGTATCTGGGCCACCGCATCAAAGTGACTGGTGCATCTGTCTGGGGCATCTCGCGACAGCCTGAGAGAGTTGTGAAGAAAGTAGGAGAAGAAATGATTATAAAAGAGGGACTGGGGGGCACCTCTTGTATAAAACTGGAAATTTATAACACCATATATACCATCTGAAATGAATTTTTACATACAGTGTGTGTCATAAAATCCATTAATACTTTTTAAAAGTAGATACATGTTGATCTTTTTCAGGATTTTCAGGATGTTTCTCCTGGCATCCACTGCGACTGTGTGCCTGTGGATGAATGAGTGAAACCAGGCTAAACAAAAGAGGGTATCCTATTGTGGTGACATGGTAAGATCCAGCGAGGTTTATAAGTGATTTAAAACAGTGATGTGGCTGGACTGCCAATGATAAAGCCATTAGCACTACGGGGTTGAGAGGGAACCAGCCAGGCCTTATATTACCAACAAAGGTCTCTATTCAGAGCTCTAAAAACATGACACTGCTGCCTTGTGGTCAGTATCACTGTTCTTGTCCAGCCTTTTTATGCATCATGGCCTGATGAGCCAGTGGGAAATGATTAATGAAGCCAGTGTAAGCCAAAAACAAAACTGTTAAATATCCCACCACCGCCTGTTTGTCTTAGACATCCTTCTCAGTGCTACCTCTGTGTTTCCTGCTGTGTGTGTGTGTGTGCATGCACATGTGTGTTTTCTGAACCTAATTTGCACTAATTCAGAATGAAGATATTTTTGTCAAGTCTTTTTGGATGGACCCGTTTGGGGGCTACTTTAAGGTTAGAGCTGGGTGTTTTGGATGTTTGAGCGACTGTGTTTATGTACACTCAAAATCTAATTATCCTTGATAATCTAAAAAAAAAACACTACACGCCAATAGCTGCCCGACTTGCTTTAGGGAATTACTTAATTAGGCGGGCAGGCTTTCAAGCTCACTCTCGGCCTTGTGGCTAATTTGCCTTGTTGGCACCTCAAGACTTCATATCAAGCTGCAAAAAAATTCTTTTTTACAATAAATGTTGAGTATCCCTGCATGTGTTTATTACATTGTTTCTCGGTGGAAGCGGAAAGAGTAGCAAAATTAAAAAACAATCACAATACCATTATGCTGATGTACAGGGAACCACAAGAAAAAGAACAATCTCTATATAACGACATCCAATACAGCTCTCCTGCAATAAATACCACCTGTGTGATTCCTAGGGGTTTATGTGCATGTCCACCTTTGCCAGCTGAAGACATATCAAAGAGAGGCACCTGTCATTATAAGATGTGTCCTGAGCCTTGAAGTGGTATGTGCCATCTGCTTGTTATTGACAGTCCTCTCTGCTACACTCCTCTGGCCATTACAGCACAGGCACTGTCATGTTGAATTGGATTTACAGAGTGTGTGAAGGCTGAAAAACATTTACTTTCACTCAGCAAAACTGCGACATAGGTGATCCAAGATCATGGGCCTGGAAATAGCAATGGAGGGACTGTTCAAATACGTTTTTGCAGTGTAGCAGTATAACAGTAGATTTATGTTTGTATGTCAAACAGACAGCATATCTTTAAATCTTCTACTTACAGGACAGTAGATCTGTTTTCAGGAAGGTCCAACAGGACAGGAGGCTCAGCTGTCTGGGAGGGGTTGCCCGGGTGATTTGTGTGGGACACTGAGTCTCTGACACCTGGAATGAGGTCAAATATCAACTTTGGACTCTCACTTATATTCCTGTTCTTTTGCAATGTAACTTTTTCCCTGTATTGTACCACAGAATAACATGGCACTTGTCTGTTTTATTTCTTTGTTCATTCACTCCACTTTACTTCATTTCATTTTGATTCAGTCTGATTCAAATTTATATGCCCTCACCGTTTATTCCTGTACTGCATTCTCCTCTTCATGGTCATTGTTCTTTTCTCTCACACTACTATTTCCTATTCCAGTGAACAGTGTGAGAAGGTCACATGCCATAACGAGGCCCAATTAACTCTGTCTATGTTTTCATTAAATCAATACCCTTTCTCTACAGAACTCATCAACTGCTTCCTGCATGAGTAGGCCTCGGTATCTTCAGTCTGCTGAAGCTTCACTAGCAAATGGTTGTTTCCACCACTGCACTGGGAAACATAGATAATTACCGCAGAGACTCATGAATCATGATCAGTGGAGGAGAAGAAGGTCCTGTGAATGCAGATATGGGTAAAGTACTGTATGTTTCCACAATGTTTATACACAGAGACACACACTTGAAGAGACTTCACAGAATTTAAAAAAATCCAGAAACATCTTCAAGATGTATGAGTATTATGATACAGCAAATGAACAGTCAAGAAACGACCAATTTTGCCAGTATGTACTGTACTATAAATTTCATGTTCATAAGATAATACTTCAAATAATGATGGAAAAGTCTGGGTGATAGTGACAGGCATATGGATATACCTGGAAAGGACAGCTGTAAAAAAGAAAACATTAAACACTGACTTTCCATAAATGTCAAACATGCTATTAGTTCCATTTCAAGGTGCCCTACATGGCCACTTTGTTTCATTTTTTGACAGCATCTCCCTGAGTACAAATCAATTACTGGAAGACCATTTTTCACGTGTGTGTGTGTGTGTGTTTGTTAACACTGGGGACAGATTTATTATAGGAAAATCTGATGGAAATGCAACTAATTTGCTTTCCCCCATTTCTCTTTCACATAACACACACACTGTAGTTGACTAAATGTTTCCTCATACCGTAGAGCTGCCAGACGCGGACCTTGTCTTCATAGGGTAGGTCGTACTTCAGAGGGTCTCCTACAGGACCCTGGTAGTATGGTCTCATGATGGACTCGATGGCTGAGGTGTGAACCAGCCCGATGGCATGACCGAACTCATGAACTGCGACCGCAAACAGATCCATCCCATGTGAGTCTGAAGAAGACCAAAAAAAAAAAATAATTAAACGAAACAAGTCAACATATGTCTAAGTGAAGTTTTTCAAAGTGTCACAACCATCTCTAGCACCATGATTAATAAAGTCATATGTCATTTTACAACTTGCAGCTATTCCGTAATAGCTGCAGTTGTGGACCTGAGTCATGTGGGTATGGATTAGGGTAAACTGGGTCACCAAAAGCCTGGTAAAAATAATCAATCCATCCACTGGCTGGAGTCAATCCCAGCTGACACTGGGCGATACACAATGAACAGGTCACCAGTCTATCACAGGGCTGACAAATAGAGGCAACCATTCATACTCTCATTCACACTAGTTGCCCTAACCTGCATGCCTTTGGAGAGTGGGAGGATGCCAGGGTGACTGGAGGAATCCCGCACAGGCACTGGAAGAACATGCAAACTCCACACAGAGACACGACTGGTTTAAATGGTCACATGTCAAATGCATTAATATGCTGCATCATATCTACAGTTTGTGTACGAGCAGACATGAAAGATTTTTTTAGTGAATGACTTTAGGAGGACCCAGTGGCAAGAGTCACCAATGTAAGTTTTCCACTGTAGGCCTGTGTCCTGAAGTGACCCAGTCAAAACCCTGTGCAGGTATTTTATCCCTTTTCAGCTCATCTGCTTATGGTGCAAATTAAGAGGCATGAAAGACAGCTCAGGAGGCTTTGAGTGCTGTTAGGCGTGTGGTGTAGTGAGATAACTACTGCCATAGTCCCTGGGCTGCCAATCAAAACCTGTGCGCAGAAAGACACCTAAAGAGCCTTCAGGCTATTAAATCACATTTTCCTCTGTGTTCATCTAAAAAGGAAAAGAAAAGAAAAGCCTCCAAAACTCCTTGTCTGGCTCTGTGATGCAAGACAAAACCTGGAGCTTGGAGATTTTGATTTGCAAAAATATGGAGCGCTAGCGTGTCGAGCCAAGCTAGCTTAGAGTTCCTTGGTGGCTAGGCTGAAGTGTGCATTCTGTTAGCCACAGTTACCACCAAGGATATTCAGAAGGCAAATGCCAACTCTAATCTACAGGAGCACATGGTGTAGAGAGGAAAGGTGAACAAAAGGAAGGCTAGAGAGGAGAGAACAGGGGCTCTGAACAGACTACGTACCATATCATCATATTTATGGTCCATGTCAGGCTGACAGAGTAGACATGATGCCTGTAGACAATGTACGAGCAGAGAGAACTGGCTGAACCACATTCATTTAGGAAGGCAGAGAGAGATAGAGACACAGAGAAGATGTTTGTGTTGCATTTTGTGTAACAAATCATTTCTATTTTAGAGCTAATGTTTTAATTTAGTGATGTGCAAATCTTTTCCTAACCTTATACTATTAATAGGCTAACCTAAAATTTTGCTGCAACTGTTTCCTGATCTGTCAATTCTGTAATCACCGAACAGTCAGGAAACAGTATGAAACAACACAACAAGAAGCCAAAGAAATTCAAACAATACACAGGACACACGACACATTCCTTTGCAGTCACAACTTTAACTCACTCACTAAAAAAGCTGCAACATTTAGCCTGTCAGTGGTGGCCCACACCCAAGAGCAGTCCACCATGACACAACATAATGATAAAACCAGACCAAACTAATAATTTAGTAACCAGAGTTACCAACAACAAGTCCATTCTCCAAAATACTGTATCTTGTGCACCAGGCTCCAGCCTGTATCCAACATAATTAACAATCTCTCCCATCCACATCATCCAAACCCTTCCCTTCAGACAGCAGCTATATGGACAGCTGGAGCAAACACTGCCATGCACATGGACAGATTCCAGCCCTGACCAGTGCTCCTCGTGGATACATCTGCTTTCTCCCAAACTGGTAAACAGAATGGTAAAATGAACCACAATATACAACAGCAGCCAATGTCCCTGTGCTAAAAAAAAGAAAATCACTCTACTGCTGATTATGTTCCCCCACAGTCTTTAGTCATTTCCTTATAACACTACTTTCCAGATGGCAATCCTTTGTGATTTGGTCTGCTCAAGGCTTCTTCCATTTTTCAACAAATACTGTTTTCTTGGGAGTTTTCCTTACACAGCCGAGGTCTAAAGTTGTTGGTAGTGGTTGTTACCATATCTTCAAATGTTACTCTATGTCTTTTATGTATTCTATTTTATTTAGTTGCACATTATATTTCCTACATTTGTTTATTGATTTTTAATAAGATGTAGGTTGTGGACAAAAGTCAAACGTGTTCTAAATGTGCTGCAATATACTTACACTGTATTTCTAGTCTGGAGTCCAGTGCTCTGTTCTCTGTAGTTTCTGTTTATTATAACTATAAAATCTACTAGGTTTTTTGTACATGAAGTACATTTTGAAATTTGTCAGAGTTTTAAGTGGCTATGGTAAAAATATGTGGCCTCTAATTCTTCCTACTTCCCTATTCAGACGGCAGAGAAAAAGCTTTACTGCCCTATATGTAAACAAGAAAATTGGAGAGAATCTGGGAAAATACAAACTGAAAATTGAGCCTAGAAGAACCTTGTGTAAAATAAAACAATTACTATTTATGCTGTTGTGATGTTCCCAGCTCTATGAAATGTAAGTTGACAATGACACCAAGTCCTTCAACCTAAACGACCATACAGGTTGCTTGTCTTGCACTTGTAAAATAGTGGCCCCAGTAGTGGCAAGCCTAGCAGACTTTCTTCAACATGGTTACAATAATAAACACACTCTGCCCATTTCCTGTCTTATTTGGCACTTAAATCTATCAAATCAAGGGCAAAATACCAATACATAATTAGTCTAAAATCAGAGATGACTGTACAATTGCTTTATATATGTGTGTATGTGTCATATTAGCTGATCTATGTGAATGATAATGTAGTAACACCGACTCTAGTGTGATCTCACAGAGACATATACACATAAGCATACATGCACACAGAAAAATGGAATATCATGAAAAAAAATCCACCTGCTTAATGATGCTTTTGTTTTAGGCTGGGTAATTTGTTTCCAGAAACAGATTGCTTCCAGAGTGATAATTAATACAACCAATATGTTGTTTGTCAAAACAAAAATTCAGAAACAGCATTCCTCCACTTATATGACCCCAGTGAAATTCCAGTTCTCATTATTCCAAACAGGTGCTAGAACCATCAATCACACAGCAAGGGGGAACTGATAAACATGATGCAGATGGCGGCCTAAACGTTAGAGAAGCAAGGAAGATGGTTCAATCCTCGGAGTGGCAGCTGTCAAAGCAGAGGGTGCCCCGCCCTCATTCACACCACTGTGGTGCCCTTGAGCAAGGCCGTCAACCGCAAATGGCTCCAATGTGTCTGTCCAGCGGCCGCGGGTTAGTCTGAGGTTGTACGGGGCAGCTTCAAATTGTGAATGTGAACAGAGTGCCCCCGAAAAAGAAAGGTGGCATCGCGGTGAGTAAAAAAAATCCATTTTTCAGCATCATCTGCATTATAGGACAAGGCCTTAGTGGACCAAGATTTAGGGTCCTGTTGAGAACAATGCACCAGGAGACGGGGGAAGAGAATTAGCAAAGGCAATTACTTTGCTATGGATTTGTCTGATAAGGTCAATTTTTCTAAAGACAATTTCATAGCTCTATAATCTGCTGAAGTACCAACATTCACTTTATACCTTCTGGGCTGACCTAACAAGTTAACATCTTTTCAAGAGATTGTCATGCTTTTGAAAAACTTGCTAAGAACAACAATTTATGAAGCTGGGGCACAACTTAATTGCCTGTCTTACAAGCAGAATGAGACACAGAAGCAGTGATACTGAACTCAGCTAAGCAACACCTTGGAGACAAGCTGATGGTGCCAGCGGAGGAAGTTGTGAGACAGCAGCAAGGTGAGGTTGGCAGAGTGTGACTTGAAGAAATTAAGCGTTGTTTAATTAACTTCTTTCCCTTTGCATCAGTGCGTTAGTCTGGCAGCCTCAGAGTGGTAGAGAAGGTAAACTTGAATGGCTGAGCAGAGCACTAAAATCCAGAGCTGAGTTGAACTTAAACGCAACACCACAAAAAAAAAGAATTTGTCCAGGTCTGTGCTTATCTTTGGGGAGCTAAAGACATCTGAGGAGAAACTTTGACTTCAGAAGATTTACCTGTTCAGCATAGAAGACTGTTTGCTTTGCAGATGAAAAAGTTTGACGCCCTAAATGTGGATTTCACTCTTGAGGGCCTTTATTACCATAGAAGAAAGACATATGTTGGCAAACAGGAACATCTAACAAAGAAGATTCACAGAATCCATCCATATTATTTTTACACATTGAAGGAAACTTTACCGTACTAACACAATAGTCACCGTCATCCTTCAGTCTACCTGAATTATTTATGACTAGCAAAATCAACATCATCTTTAAAATTAGTACTAAAAAACATATTAAAGCAATACTTTTGCTGTTTATACCGTTCTTCAGTGTAGTTTGAGCTATCTTACAGTTTTATTGTTCAGTACAAATGTCTTTAATACAATCTTTACTGTAGCTTAGTCGTTGTGAGAAATTGTGAATATCTTTCTTTTTGAAAGCACTAAAATGGAGGCAGACTATTGTGACACAGAGAGGAATGAATGACAGTAATATAGACGAGGTCACACCTCTGACCCCTCTTTCCTTCACTGCTCTGCTCCCGCTAACCAAACCTATATCTATGCTGCTGTTCCTGGTCCCCCCATCTTCCCGTACGCACATTCACACACCCACAGTTCAGCTACGCTACAGCACCTTCTGCTTGTCCTGCCACTGCTGTGGCCCGGTGGGAGGTCTAATTGGAGCAGATTGAGCCGCTGTCCGATAACATATGGTTCACAGCCCTGACAGCGCAAAACAAAGGAGGGAGATCCATGTAGGTCCTGGCCCCATCACAGACTCACCAGCTGGGAGAGACAGCCACACAGACACACACACACTTATGTTCCTTTCATTCTTCAGGCCGTGGTTTAATTTACAGCATGAGGTCAAAATGCACCATGGGACTTGTCATCTGGACACCAGTTAAACAGGATGAAACTGTGTTAACCTGGAATAAATTGGATTTTATATTAAACCAATTTATTCACATTCCAGATTTCTGATTACAATGATGAAAATTGGCCTTTATTGTTTTCTGCTGTGAAGACTGCTGGATTCTTACTAATCAAGACAACCAAGTTATTTCATAAACATTTTGGTTGCCCAACTCTAAGGGTGCAGAGATGAACTGATGCATATAAGAAAACCAAATCAAGAGTCAGAGATTCATACATATGCGCACACGGCTCAAGATTCTCCATGTAATTCTGGATCAACAAATTGTTCCAGCCATCAGGAACTGATCTTTCCAAGTAACTCTCTTCCTCACTCAACTTGTATTTAAAGTTACAAAGAAGTAAGCTAAAATGTTTATGAGACCTACTTCAGTAAAGCACAACTATAAGATCATATTTCTCATACATATTACTGTTGAACCTATTTAAAGTTACAAGATGACAAGTGACTCCAAACAAGTTATCAACTTTTTTTATTGGTGCCTGATGTGCATGTACTGTAATAGAGCTCTGTTCTGTATAGTAATGTACACACTGAAAATCGCACAGTGTATAGGCCTATTGTCACCGTGTCTGTGTGGCAAAATTAATCATATTGTCAGTGCAGCTGCTTCATAAAATGCTGCATCCTTAGAGACTTCTCTCTATTTGGTTTGCAGCTTTGCAAGATGTATTCATGTCAGTATTGGTCATGAATTCATCTTTCATCCAGCAATTACCCTATCTGGGGTGTCTGATGGTGAGGTGAGAAAGAGGTATAGTTAGAAATAGGTATAGGCTGCCAAGTCCTGCAATTTTGTTTCTCCTAGAAGGAAAAAAGCTTCACTTGGAATCAGAGGAGGAGTAATGGCATCTCCGCATATCAGAAATTGGTTGGCACACCTTCATCTATTGGCTTTGGGGACACTGCAGCAGATGGTGGTATACACAGAGTGGCAGTAACAATTACTCTTGCCCTGCTTAGGTACCATTTTCAACTCTGTAGAAACAAAGACTACTGTAAATACCAACATGTATAATTAGAAACATTAGAAAAGTTAATTTCTTTTCTTTTTTTAGCCATGTTTCCCTGATACGAACACCTGATCTATGTGTGTTTGTGTGTGTCACTGAGGCTGAACTTATTCACTGTTTGTCAAAGTGACAACTACATTCTTGTCCAAAAAGAAAAGATACCCTCAGTACTCTGAATGTCCATGTTGCATGGCTGCCTCTGACAACTTAGCTTTGTGAAACCAGCAACTCATCAAGGGGCACTTTATGTGGTGATTAACTCGAAGTGCACGGGGGAGGAAGTATACAGGCCTTGAACTTTTCCTTCAGACACAGAGACGCTGTCCAAAAGTGTGGGCCATTTTCCCTATTAATATGATTTCTTGCATCAAGACCGGAGAGACATGCTAAAGACTGAATAATCGGAGAGCAAGGCAAGAGCAATGCCACCAAGAGGATAGGAAGGTCGTTTTGTTACCCTACCAAGTATGACCTTTAACAGGCACTGTATTAACACTTTTGCCTTTAGATGTAATTGAATAATGTTTCATATTACCAATTTTGTTCAATTATGCCATGTGTTAGTCCTCTTTGATCCCTGCATAAATAAGGCCACACTGAGCTCCCTCCATCCTTGGCAATATGTTGAGACTTCCCTCCAAGTTAGGTTCATCTTGACTACCTTGTCAGTCACAGCAATTCAGGACATTTGTAATCTTCTACGAGGAGACCATCTCAGTGCAACCTCTGGGACATTTGATGCATACACAACTTGACTGACATGTGATAAGAAAACCCTTTGTGAGGCTTTAAAATTTTCACCTTAGGGCACAGACACACCAAGCCAACATGAAAGAACTAGCAGCAACAAAGGTCAACTGTTACATTGCCTCACGTCACCTTTTCCTGGGCCAGTTGAGTTGAAAAGGTGGCACAGCTGCTGTTTATACCCGTTTCTATAATATATCTGATAATAAGGTGCAAATGGCACTGCCATTCTCTGCCCTTTGGTCTTTAGGTTGTGGAAGAGGAAAGGAAGCCGCAAATGCAAAAAAAAAAGAGAAGCAAAATGATGCCTTTTGGCACTAAATGGGTGAAATCATGGATACTAGAGTGCTGGGCATTTTTCCTGAAGCGTTCCCTTCTCATACACTGATCTGCTAAGCTGAACAACAAATCAGAGTGGTGATATGGCCCGACTGATACTAATACCTGATACCAATTCAACATGCAGAATCGGCCGAAAAGTTGCCGGGTCTGAATAGTGCCAACAGTCACATCAGGAAGGCTAGCTCCAACAGACACTCACCGACTCAGCTTGGTGTGTCACGGCCCATAAATTTCACTGTTATTGTAACAGCCAGTTTGCTTATTTTGTTTAGCTTATTCAAAATGACATATGTGCTAAAGTGATTAGAGGACTACACTGTCAGGCTACTCTTCTAGCTTGGCTTTGACACATAACCTAAAACAGCCTGACCTCATTTAGCTGCATAATAATACATTCCACTTTCTTTTTGGATCCTGGGATTGATCGACCAAGTTACCATAATTTCATATCACCTATATTCTGCATGATAGTGTCACAACCTTTCTTCAACTCTCCCTGTTTTTAAATGTCAACTTAAATCTTATTTTTACTCCCTTGCTTTTAATCAATGCTCATTCATGGTCCGGTTTAAACAGCTTGCAATTTTGTTTTCTTGGTTTGGAGGTCACAGTATTGTTTACGATTTTATGGTGGTCTGTTTTATATGTTTTGTTTTGTTTCCTGTAAAGCACTTAGGCCAACTTTTTGTTGAATTTAATGTGCTATATAAATAAGCTTGACTTTCTTCCAGTGTAATTAAATGTCAAAAAATACTAGAGAATAAGTGGAATTTGTTTTGACTGTTGTTCCTGAGGACAAATATGAGCTTTCATGCGTGACATCACTCTTTTCTGACTTACTTTGGAACCTTAGAGATGTTTTAGCCATATACTTTATTTCTCACAATCTTAACCTCTCTTTCCTTCACTATTCTCTCTGTTCTACTGTCCATGGGATGAATGCAGGCACTGAGCAGAGGAGAGAGGAAGGTCATTTTAGGTTCAGTCATCCGGATAAAAGGAAGGATAAAGAAAGCAAGTAAGAGAAAAGGACAGTTAATGATTTATGAAACAGCTTCTGCCTGATGATGCATTCAGTGTGACTAGATCATTTCATCCGTTCATTTCATCCAAATGGGGGGACTTGTAATGCTCCCCCATCCATTAAAGTTCGCCACCTCCCTCCCTCCCCCCCTTTTAATATAAAAAGCAAAAGGACAGCAGAAATAAAATCAGGCTGATGCTAAGTGACAAGTCTGCAGAGTTTTAGAGAACGTGACCATTTGGTCACATTTTGAAAACAGTTCCTGTTCTGCCATCAATAACTTAATTTGCTCCAGAGTGAATACACTCACACACACAGAGCAAAGTATCTGGAAGTCACAGCTATTCACAAGATGACAAGGACGCACACAGTTCAGCAGAAATGCACAGAGCAGGTGAGTGAATGACGATGTCTCCAGAAAGAACAGGTAATGTAGATAATGTATTGTGAGTGAGTGAATTCATGAACAAGTGGATGAATGACTCAGTGAATGTGACAAACACAAAAGCAGTGTGCTGTTTTCCAGAGCAGTCTAACAATGACACATATTTCTAGTATGAACCCGTCTATAAACTCTTTTGATTGGCAGGGCTGATTGAATTCCATTTAGAGCTGCTGTCATCCTGTCCTCACAGATCTCCCTCGGTGGTTAATCAAGCTCTTTGAAAACTGTTTGATGAAAAAATTTGTCCAGATCATTCAGGATAATACGACATTAGCCCACACAGCTCAAAGCAAAACACACTGGAATGATGTTTTACTGGAGTGGTCCAAACTCAGCGTGTGTTCCTATAACTATATATATAAAGATAGACCTAAAAATGATACGGCACAACATTTAATAATTAATTTGACTCTGGTCAAGAATCCATAATATAAAGGCTCAGTTCACCAAAATCCTAAAAGAAAAAAACCCTCATAACTGAGACTTCTGCTTAAAAGCCCATAATAAAGTCTTGAAAGTGCTTGTTTTTCTAGCCAACAGCCCAAAACCCAAAGACATTTACTTTACAGTGATGTAACTCAGAGAGTAGAGAGCAGGTTGACCTCATCATCAGTGAGCCTTGGGCGTCCATGACCCTGTTGTGGTTCATTCCTTTGTCCTTCCTTTGACCACTTTTGGTAGGTACTAACCACCCTCGTCAAAACCACTCAGGTTCTTACTTTTTTCCTGCTTCCAACACAACTTCGAGGACTGAATGTTCACTTGCTGCCTAATATACTCCACACACTGACAGGTGCCACTGTAACAGATAGTCAGTGTTATTCACGTCACCTTTCAATGGTCATAATGTTATGGCTGATCGGTGTATACACAGAGACATTGTGGTTGACTATAGAACCTTGCAGCGTTCCTCACCTGGTGATCTGAAGGTCCAGGCCTCGTCATCATCAAAGTGTGTATCCCCAGCTGTGAACCTCTCTCCGGGGAAAAATGCGTGCGCCACAGTGCCCCCCGGTCCGTCAAAAGGATAGCCATCATTGTGGTCGGCCTTTGTGAAGTCGATTTGAATGTCTGCATCACTTCCGGCCACCTCGTGGAAGTTAAGTGGCGCAATGTCACTCCAGACCTTCAAGGCGTAGTACATCAGTGCTCGAACAGTGTCCCTGCCCAGTAAGGCTGAATCCTTAGGGAACGTCCTCACTCTGTGAGGAGGGCAAAGAGGGAATATATTACATACAGGAAGGGGAGAAAGAAGGGATGGGGGGTTACATGAAAAGATGTGTGAGAAGACGACTGATAAGGGAAGTGGACAGGAGACTTGAGAAAAGGACACAAGGGATAAAATGAGAGGATGAAAAATAATAATGGACAAAAGAAGGAAAAGAAAAAAGCAAAGGTTGCCCATGGCAGGAAACAAGAGAAGAGGAGGAGTAAGCCAAGTGTGACACATCAGAGAAGAATATGAAAATGGAGGCAAAACAAGAATGGCAGAAGGTGCTGAGCACAGGAGACAGAAAGAAGCGACTCAAGGAAACACCAGGGACTGGTACTGGCAGGAGATGAGCAGGATGGTGAAATAGCTCTGATTGCATAAAAGCACAAAAGCATCAAGATCAACTGTGTTTGCCACTGGGGCAGACATGCATAAAAATTCTTGTTTGCATATTGTATGTGATTCTATTGCTTTTTGTATTTTATGTTTAGGTGCTCCAGCTGCTCACATATACCGATGATAACTTGAGAATATAATACATACTTGAAGAGATGATGGCATCAGCTTTCAGGAACAGCTCCTCAGCTTTTCACTGTCTTTTCTATTTTACTCCTTCCTTTCATTTTCTTCCTTACTTGCATCATCTTAACATCTATTTCTGAACTATTTCTTTGTGACAGCTCCAGTAGAAACAAGACAAGAATAAACACAAAACCACTCAGATGTCATGCTACGTTTGCCAACTCTCTACCTTCCAAATTTTCTCTCCTTTTCCATTCTCTTGTTCTCCCTTCTTTTCTCCTCTGCTGTTGCATGATGCACTTGCTTTTCTTTCACCCTATAGGAGCACTTGTTGGCCACTGCAGGCACTATAGGAAATCCAATCAGTGTTAAATTGTCTTAAATTGTTCATTAGTAAGGAGGAAGGTTCTTAGTCTAGAGAAATTGCTGCCTCATCTACCACTATAACTAGCTTACAGCCTGCATGAAAATAGTTAAAATGAACAAAGTGGTGCACTGATGAAGTTTCTTCCCCCTTCTCAGTAAAGCCTTCCACAGTCCACAGTTAGCAAGCACCAATGGTAAGCAACAGCAAGCGACGGAGCTCCAATTTTTTGTCAATATGTCAAAGAAGACCTAAATAAATGCTATCATTACTAACAGTACTGTGAACACAGACAAAAATAGCACAGCAAATGCTGAAGTCGAAATACTTACAACTAATGTTAACACTAATGTTAGAAAAAGCACCACAGCAGAGCGAGCAGCAGCGGGGTGTCTGGGAGTCAACACACTGCTGCCCCTGTCCCTATGGGAACCACTGGGCTCAGAGGAGCTGGGGATGAGGAGGCTTTCAGGCCTTCACATGTAAACCATAAAAGGTGTCTGATGAGTTATTTACATGCTAATACTAGTTTGTTTCTGATGAGCCAAATGTTGTGAATGAGATGGTGGATCATAGCCATTTGTTATTTTAACACACATCCAAATATGTAGCATATGAAAAACTAGACAGAATTCTGACATTACATCCATTTTACTTATCTATGGAAACATACATGATTTGCACACAAACTTTACTTTTTTTTTTTTTTTTTGCAGTTGCAATTTTTTTTTCCAACACAAAATGACACATTTACAGGACAAAGAACATACCACAGAAGATGAAGCAACAGACATTATAAAAAGCAACAAAGGGATTGTTAAATTAAGTTGTGTGTATGAAAGTGTGTAGTGTGGGTGTATCCAACTCTATGCAGACTGATAGTCAGTACATATTGAACAAAAATAAAATGAAACCAAATAAATTAGGGGGTTGCAGTTGCAGAGATTGTGATATATTTACAACAATTTGTTTTCTTAATTGAATATGGTAAAAAGTCAAGGTCTACAACTGAAGTATTTTTGTACTGATTTTGTTCTAGTTCTATCCATGAGCTATTGTAACTCCCCTTTTGAATCCATGTAAGTAAATTTGAAAATTTGGTGCTTCTAAGCTGTTGACAACACGCACAAACTTATCCCAGGCAGCAATTCTGATTCTGATTCTGATGTTTGACACATATCGAATGACTTCCTCAAGGACACAGTGATCACAGACTCTAAAAGGAGAAATTATTGGAAGACTGAAACTTGCACAGATGAGGCAGTAAAAACACTGAGAAAAGAAAGGTACAAGTGTTTGGAATAGTGAATGAAAATAGGCAACAAATACTGTAAACTCAGTAGGGACAGAAAAGGAGTGTGTGTGTCGAGCACAGACAACTTCAGCTGAGCCGCAACTTTTTAGTAAATCCTAGATAACTGGCTTATAAATTAATTCTCTCAGGGATGCCATACTATTTTTCTGTCTGGCTGGTGTTTTGACGCCTTTTTTTATTTTAAAGTAGGCCACATACTTGTACAATATATCATTGACAATATGATTTTATCTCCAAATTTTAAACAGAGAATGCCCCAGAACAGCCCAACTTGGTCCTAATCTAGTGTTTCTCAAGCACAGGGAAAGGTCATTTCAGGAAAATATGAAGCACACCAAACACTGAATGAACCTGGTTCATAAGGAAACAACACCCTTAAGTTTTTTTTAATATTATTGCTGGTCTGCATTTTTCTAGCAACAGCCAATGAAGGCATTTGCATCCTATATATATAATGACCTCTGGTAGCTTTCAATAGCCCCTTTTACACCATGATCATGGAAAACCAATGGCATTTTGACCCTCCTTCATAGCTCATTTATACAGATGTTAAAAAAAGCTGGCAAAATGCTGCTCCGTTGTTCCTTTTACACATCTGTCAGAAACCAAGTGTTTTGTGGAAAAATGTAAAGAAATTGTGACATTTCATAACTGTAGCATCGTATTTATGACAGTTTCCAAAATGAAGTTGTTCCAGTAGCTTGCTGATAGCTAGCCTGCTATTTATGGCTGTTATCATGAAGACAAAGGTCCATAAAGCCTGGTAGTGTGACGCACTTTGTCATTACTTTTGGTGGGATTGTTGCAATTTCTCCCATGACTGTAGGAGCACTATTTATAGTGGCCGTTTTGAGATGAAGGGGAGAACTGATCATATGGCTTGTATAGGTTGGAGGACGTGCTCTAAATTAAACTGTAATAAGTTGCAAAAATATGGAAATATGGAGTGGCTTTTTTTATGAAGCTGTAGCACAGTGTGTTGTCACCAGTGCAGTATCACAGTAACCATACAAAACAAGACACAGTCCATCCATCCATTATCCACACCGCTTATCCTGAAGTGGGTCAAGGTGGGGCTGGAGCTAATCCCAGCTGACACTGGGAGGCCAAGTACACCCTGGACAGGTCGCCAGTCTATCACAAGGTTGACAGAGACAGACAACCACACACAGACCCACATTCACTCCTACGGGCAATTTAGAATCACCAGTCAACCTAAGCTGCATGTCTTTGGACTGTGGGAGGAAGCCGAAGCACCTGGAGAGAACCCACACAGGCACAGGGAGAACATGCAAACACCACACAGAAAGGCACCGGCTCAGCTTTCTTCCTGTGAGGGGACAATGCTAACCACTGCGCCACCATACCGCACCACAAGACTTGGTCAGTTTGGGTGTTTTTTGAGAGCGACTCGAGCTGCACACTTCCACATCCTCAGCAATTTAACTAACTCCATTGCCTTGGTGATGTGTGGAAAGGTTTTCACAGACTTCTGGGAGCTGTAAATTTAAACTGCATTAGTTGTTGCCATCAGTCTCCAGAGGGGTCACCAGGATTGGTATCTTATGAATGATATCTTCAAAGTCAAAATACCCAGCTGTAATGTTTTTCCCTTGCTCTCCTTCATATTCTAGATACAAACCTCATTCCACTACAATAATACCACAAAAGCCTTATTGTTTTGGATTAGTTTAGACAAGGTGCCCCAGCTATGGGACTTAGATTGTGCCAATCATGTTTAACATTTAGGTCACAGATACGTTCAACGATTGAAGCTGTCACTGCAAGCAATCTTGTTCATAAAAAGCACTCTGTCATTCTCATGTCTTCTTTCAAATCTGCCACCTTGAAAGCAAAGTTTCTGTCAAACAAATGATTTGTTTGACATCTTCTTTCCATTCACACTTAAATTCTTTATGATTAAGGACTTTTTTTTTTTTTTTTAAGCCAAGGATGTCTGGTCACAGTGAAGGTAAAGCAGCGACTCATAGCGATCGTTTCAAAAGCTCATTTATCTTTTGTGGTTCTTTATCTTTCTCAAGGGCCTCCAGAGTTCTTTGTTCTGGTTTCAAGATCATTGTTAACTGGTACTGTCAAAAAAAAGATTCATCCAATATAATATACTGGTCTGCTCAGCACATAGGACATAAGTGTTGTACTTGATGTGATTTCAACGACTATGTCTGCTGTCCATTTCAAGCATTTCCTAGTGGAATCTTAACGTGCTTATTTTTGTTAACAGCCACACTAAAAGAATCTGAAGGGTTCTCAGCAGGATTGTTTGTCCAGTACTTTGATGACTGAGACTGGCTAAGTGATTTTGTGCCAACTGTGACTGCTTAGCCTGTCACGCTCCTGCCCCTCTTGCTTCCTGTCATGCTTTTATTTTCACATGACTTCCTGTTTTGTTTCACCTCAGTTTTGGCCCTTTTATTTAATCATCATTAGTTCACCTGCTCCTTATTGTTTGCACCTGTTTTTTACTTCTATTTAGGCAGCGTCCTCCCACCAGGATGCTGCCAGATTGTTTTAGACCCCAGCTCTGACTTCCCAGCATTTTCTTCGGTTTTGGTATTTTGTGTTGGATTACCGTTTTTTGACCACCGTGTTTTGTCTATGCCCTCCCAGATTCTGTTCGCCTGCAGTGTACCGACCTTCTGATTTTGTCCCCCTTGACCTCGAGTTTGGATCCCCTGGCTGTACCTGTTTACCGGCGCCGACCCTGGACTGTCTTATCGACCTGATTGATATCCTGGACTTTGTGTTAGTTGTTTTGCTTACAACAAGT